TGAATGCACCCTATCTGTGTGAAATGGGATAACTTCCTAATGACAGAAATAACTTCCTAATGACAGAAAGACAGAAAGTTACTGTAAGGGGTAAAGAGGAGCTGTGGGAATTTATTTACAAGTCAGAAATATTTGTAATCCCAAGAAAGAAAATGTTAATAATTAGAGATGAGATAATTAATGATAATATTTAAAGATTTAATCAGTAAAAACAGAAAGAAAATACAAAGCACCAAATAATTAAAGATAAAATATATTGTTTGGAAACTATATAAATTTTAATTTACTTAGTGTTGAATATGCAGAGCAATGGCATTTACAATTCTATGTGGAGATTGATGGTCTATTTGCTCTGTATTATCAAAATGATTTAATTAAGAATTGGGAGTCTCGTGCTTTACATGTCTTGTGAATCAACAATATAGTTAGCTTTAGGGCTTAAGTGTTTGGATGTACAAAAGCTCATAAAGTAAGACTTATTGCATGCATGACAGTTTCACATGGAAGTACTATTAACATAAGTGACTTTCAGCTGCTCTTCTACCTGGAAAACCATTTATTCATCTTGCTTCAGACCTAACAGTGACTTCTACCTGATTCCCCCCTGACATTTACCGAGGTTTTAAAATTAATATGATGACATGTAGTCCGTTATAGCTTTTGTTAATCATAACTGCAACATTCAAGAGTTTTCATTCCAAATTTATGTGAAAAAAATATTAAAATCTTACTTGACTTCAAATGAAAATCTGCTTCACTAAGAACTGTGATCATTCCTGTCCTTACACAATGCATATAAAGAAGCAGTGAAAAATGCACAAGGCAGAAGCTCAGCTGACACAGCTTGACACTGGTCTTTGGATTTCCCTCGGCTGAAGGTAGGACCTCACTTTTCTGATGTAATTGCTAGGAACTGGGCTACTCTTCCACCGTACTGGCAAAGGTTTCCTTTTCTGACTAATTTTATTTCAAATATATGTCAAAGACTACATTCAATTCCTGGTGATCTGTGGTCAGTGATAGTGTCAGTCCCCTAAAAGCAATGAGGAAAGAACTTACTGGAAAAGAGAGCCCCAGTTCTAGTAAACTGAAAGCTGTGTTGTTTAGGTAGCAAGAACAAATGTCTAATCTAAGCATCAAAAGTATGTGAAACTTTATCTATTTAGGAACACTCAGTCCCACCTGAGGCAGCCACAGGCTTCAGTTTGAGCTGGTCCAATCTGAGTTTCTTTTCCACTCATGAGCTAGAGAATGTCCATAACCTTCTGAAGAACTTTACATTTTCATTTGTTTATGGAAGCAAAGAGCTAGGATCTTTGAAAAGAACCTTTGAATATTTGTTTAAACAAAAGTTGCTATAAAGTGTTAGTTATTAAATGCTTTCTGGGCTTAGTAAAACACAGATCTCTCAGAATTAAGTAGATATGCCACTAGCAAAAAGACATATTGAATAATAAAAAGCTCAGTATGCCTGGCATTGTTTTGTGTAACTCTAAATTTATTTATAGATTTTGACTTTATAATAGGCCTCAGCGTGTCTCTACTTTATGGTTTGCCAATGCACCCAGAGGGGAAGTTCATTCTAATCAAGTTTAGTATCACAAGAATAAGCACAGGCAAAAATCAACAAACCTCTGGCATTGTAAACATTGTAAAAAGACAGATGATTATGTTGCTAAGTTGCTCCTACCTTGAAACTAATGCTCCGTGGTTGAGCTGCTGCGTGCACGTTGCTGCGGTGCTGCCCGTCGGGGCGGGTGACGCTGCGGGGGCCTGCGAGGTCGGGCCCGCTGAGGCGGCTCTGCGCCGCGATCGCCTCTGGAGTCGCTCATGACGAGACAGGTCATGAAGTTCTGGAAAATAAACCACCCTTCTGCTTTAGCTCGTCAAAACTTGTCGCAAGGAATCCTTCTTACAGGCAAGGATGGGGACGCAGGACTAGTGTGTGCCTTTAACAGTCACTTCGAACTGGTTATCTCTGTTCCATGGGAGAAAGGCCATTTAACCCTCTTCAGGCTTTCCTAAGGTATGACAGCTTTATAAATTGTCCTCCCCAGGAGCTTCTGTTTTCTCATATTTAGCAGTATTGCTAAGTGGCTGGGATGTGTGCACAGGTGGCTGCCTTTGTCCTTGCCATATGTCTGCGCTGTGAAAAGCTGGGCTGGTGCCGCAGGGCCCCGAGAAAGGGAGAGTCCCTGGGCTGCTGGGCTCTGCATCCCGGCGTTCGGCTGAAGCTCTGTGGTTAGTGAGGATTTGTGTATTCCCAGGAGGGGATTGTATTCGGGACACACAAACAACAGGCCTAGGAAACCATGTGAAGAAAACTGTAACTAGGTCAATCCTTAATTAGAGAGCTCCTTGGTAATATTTTTTATTCCAAGGAAGATTTCTTTTATAGATAGGTAATTCCTCAGAATAAAAAAGAAAGCCTTTTGGAGTGGCTGGATCTCTGATTTTAAAAGCAGCTAGAAATGCAAAGAGCAAATACTTGCTGCAAAAATATTGGTTTTAATAAAAACCCATTTTCCATCAAAAAGCTTTGAGAGAAAAAGGGGACTCGTAATTAGTTCTCCGTGTTTTCTCATCTCCCATATCCTATTTGTTTTATGCTTGCTGTACCATATTCCCTCATCTGAGTGACAGCCATTATTAAATACCATGGGAGTGTGACTACTCCCTGTCTATCCAGCCAAGACAATCAACCCTAATGATTCTCCTACCTTTTCTGAGAGGAAAGTCTCCGTCTGTTCTGACAATTTCCTCAAGTAATCTGTGCAAATGCAGACAAATAGCCATGCAGTAACAGGATGACAAATGAACAGGGACTGATTTAGGCAAATTTGCAAAACTTCTTTTTATTCACCGTTCTTAGGCTTCGCTTTATTGTGTTCTGCCTGATGTAAAGCAGCTCTAGCCAAAAAGCTGCCAGGTAACTACTCATTTAACACTGGTTAGGCCATGATTTATACTGGAGAATCTTGCAGTACTTGATCTTTAGCTTCATGCATTACTGTGCAATGATGATCTCTTAAACTCTCATAAATTAAAATCTCATATAAACACAGAGGACACAAGCACATAAACAGATTTTAGTTACCTGCAACCAAAGTTAGTCCTAAAAGAACAAAGTTATTCATCAGAATCTGTTTTTAAAAGATGGTAATTAATTCTCTATATGAGGACACTCAGGCACAAATAGTGACATAGGGCCAAATTGCTGTCCTTATGCCATTCTACCTTTTAATTTCCAGTGGCTGAAAATTTCTTAGCTGAGAATCTGGCTTGGCCATTGTTAAACTTGATCTATGAAGAGGATTCCACTAAAAGGGCTTAATTAGCTAAGGAGAAAAGTAGAACTGGAATGTTGCTGGGAAGGTCTCAATGATTTTGCTTCACAAAACAGAAAATCTGCACCTCTGCCTTCAGGGGGGTTGTGGTGGTGTAACTCCTTTGAGGCCTCTTGATATTTGGTCATAAGAAAAACTAGCAGCAACTCTCCTTAGGTGCATTAATTAAATTTAGTATTTCAGTTTTGTGGCTCAAAAAAGTCATTGGTGCAAGGAAGGGCACAAAAAGCATAAACTATAAAAAGGGTGAGTTTGATTCTGTCATCTTCATGACCGTGATCTTTAAGCCTTAAAAAGTTGCAGCTGGCTGTATTTCACTCTGTGTTCAGTATTGATGAAGCAGTAAAAGGCAGGTATTAACATCAAAGAACCAATATTCGAATAATTGTTAGCTGTGTGGGAGGCAGCTGGGCTGCAGTCAAAAGTACATAAATTTGAGAACAGCATGCAAGCCTGAATCTATGGAGAGCTGTCAGAAAGGGCAGGTTAGAAAAAAAAAAGTGTAGTATAAATGATCAAAAGCTATTATTATTTCCAATGATTTATCTGGTATTGAAACTGTGCTTAGTGCTTTACAGATAGGTCTGAAGATACACTAAGAAATCAAAGAGTGAAGAGACTTGCACAGTGCTTAATAAGGCAGACATCACCACCTAAGCAAGCTCAGTGGGAATCTATTTTGCTCATCCCTTGCTTTTCAGTTTAGGTCATGAAGTGCCCAAGCCTCAGAAGGGGCACCTGACTCTGTAATCCGGGCTCTCTGCAGGCGCGTGCTAACCGAGCCGTGTTAAAATAGCTGCTTTTGTCTGCTGGGCTAAGCAGTAAAGGTGCCTCTCTGATCGTACGTGGCTGCGAACTGGAGCAGATGAAATGTGGGCACATATTACTGCTTTCCACTGCCTTTGCAGCGAGCCGGGGAACTGAACCTGAATCGTCCACGTCCCAAGTCACCACCCTGTCACTAGGGAGTACCTCCCTGCATGCCTTTGCATTGCAGACAGAAAAGCGTTTCCTGGTCCCTGCATGTCCAAAGCAAGCAAGGACTGTGCCTCACAATATTTCTCTATAAATGTCGTTTTCCTCAGTATGTGTTTATATGTCAGAACTGGAGACATTCACTTCAACAGCCATATCCTGGCATTGTAGAAAGAGCTTGCTGGCGTTTGGCAGTCATGCCCAATTCCTTGATTTCCCAGCAGTGCTGAATTCCCAGAGAGAACCTGGGAACAATTTTTATCCCATCACAAAACAAAGCAGAAGCAAATCCTTCCCAGGAAGTGTGGTGCTGTGGGAGGGCGATGGGCCGCATGCGGTGGTGGAGGTCGCCTTCCTGATTCCCGAGGCAAGTGAAAGCTGAGATTTGGGACTCCTGGGACTTCAAAACAATTTCATTGGGGCTATTATTTGTCAGGGACATTTCAGCTTTGTGCTGCAGCACAGTTCATTTCACGCTGTAGTTTACATATGCGGCAAGGCCCACATTACAGCACATTATCTCTCCAGCTAGTATGAAGCATCATAAGCTGTGGATAAATGTTAACTTGAAGGGCCTCCCCATAATTCACAGAAAGATTCAGTTGTCATGTCCAAGACAGACAATTCCTCAGCCTACAACCTCATTTACAACAGCAATTCTAGCATGGATATGGATACTTAATCTTTTCTTTTCATTATTATTATTCTTTCTGAACAGTAGTGATTTCTGGGTTGAGGATACACCATGTCAATCCCTTATTTTCTCAAAGGCTGAGTAATTTATTAGGGTTATATCTTGTTTGTAGGAACTGCTGATATTTGGCTGGTTAGAAAAGACCTTTTTAGTTCAGTATTAGACCTTCATTACATGACAATAGAAAAAAAAATATAAGTATATATAAATCATTTCCTGTTACATATTCAACTGATAGAGGATAATAAAAAGAAAGGAAAGTGCATAGTATGATAGTGTGATGAAATCTGACCATAAGTATGCAGATTCGGAGTATATTTTAATCTTTATTAAAAAAAAAAAAAAAGATGTATGGGGTTGATTGCTAAGACCATGGACAGCCAAACTGGATAGCTTGGGGCAAGTCAAGCTATTCCAGTTGAAAAGAGCTGCTATTATGACTTGAAATCCCTGAACTGTGAGGTAATCTTACCACGAAGTAGAAAATTTACACACATGATTTGAGGTTTACTTCATCTCTCTTCAGATACACAACTCCTTGACCTTCAAGTGCACAGACTTTTTACAAATATAGTTCACTCCAAGTTTTATGCTTCAAACTTTTTATTACCGTTTGGGCATGGCAGCCATAAAACAATTCTTCTCCCACATGCAGCCTGCCACCCCTGGGAGAAGCTGCACCTCCTCAGTTTTGCCAGTCAAAATGCTCATGTAACCATAATCTAACTCTCCTCATGCAAACTGGGTTGAAATTGGCTCTTTTTTTTTCAACTGCCTAAGAGTGAATAATGGATCACAATCTAATACAGAGTAAATAATTTCTAATATTCTAGGTTGGGATAGAAGTGAAAAAGACTCTTCCTATTGACCATGCAAACATTTATATTTGAGGACCACAGTAAAATAGCAGTGATGGGAGGAAGCTGTGCAACTTTAGTTCCTTCTGACACCAGATTAAATAGGATAAAAGTCAAAGAGAAGGGACTTTGGGCAAATCATACACATGGGAACCTTTGATTACTATAGATAACATATATATATATAAAATATATGTATATACTAGATACAGATAATATCCATTTTCTGTACTTTACAAGAAAAGTAACCATAACTTAGCAGACTTTGTTGGTTTTCCTTCAGTAACTGTTCATTTTAAATTCTTTCCTTTCACTCCAGCTGCTCACTGGAAGACCTCTATTTTAAGGCATTTGACCAACTGGTCATTACCATAGGCTGCAAACCAGTGAGGAAAGAAAAGCAGATATTAAAAAAAAAAAAGATAAGGAGGTAGATGAGCAGGCTTGATGTCTCCTAGATGCCTAGGCAGAGAGGGAAATTAACAGTTGCCAAAGAGGAGGAGGGAGGACTGTAGGAAGCTGTGCCCTTCCTGCCGTGCGAGGGGAAGGAAAGGGGAGAAGGGCCAATCTCGTCACTGACATTTTTCTATTTCTTTTCTGCCTCATTTTGTATGTGCCTCTCATCCTCATCCGTATGTGATATGGTAGAAATATTATAATATAAAGTGCAAAAGCCACAATCTCCACCCTACCTGATGAGCCTATAGCAAACACAGCAGATGGAAAGTGGGCGTGATGATTGCACCAAAGTTCCTCCTTTTGGGAGCCAGCTTTTTGAACCCCCGAGGCTGGTGATGCTGGGAACCATTCTGGTACTCGTGTGTACCTCAGGCCAAAAGCAGTTTGGTATTCCCAAAGTGGCTATTCCTAGGGCAAAGCTATGTATACATGAACGTGTTTCAGCTACGCTTGCAACGCAGCAGCCTCTGCAGATTGTGTGGAAGCAATACGGCTCTAAAAAAGAGAAATAGATCTGGAAAAGAGGCCCGACACGTGCAATAGCCCCAGCAGGAGCCTGAGAGGGCTTCTTAATTAAAGTGGGGGT